GGTGGTATTATGGAACACTGCGGGTATTATGNTTTAGTCAAAGTAGGGGGAGGATATTGTTCCAGAGCGTTACAGGCCATGGAATTACTACATATGGAACCCAGGAGTTCCACTTTGAGATAGGCTCTTTGCAATTTTTTTTCCTTTGTTATGTTGTGGACGATCACATAACACAACCATTTGACGGACTCCTCGGACGAGATATTATCACGAAACAAGGATTAACTATCTGTTTGGCAAAGGAAACAATGATTCTCCCTGCGGGAGAGGAAATTCATTTCCGGCGTGGTTCTGAAGGAAAAGAAAGTAATATCTTATCGCAAGTGGGTAGGAAACGAGATCGTCGAGGCACACATATAACATCCAAAGCTCATTCTACTTTCAATCACAAAAAAAACCAAGAAACTTATATTACACCTAAACATTTACCTCGAGAACACGCAAGAGATGTAATCTTGATAACGGATTGCACTCTTCCTCCAAGAACAGAGATCATTACAATGGCTAAAATAACCGGAATAAAGCAGAGGGGCAGATTAGGAATAATAGAATCTAACAGCTTTAGTCAAGAGGGAGTTGTAGGAGCAGATGTCCTAGCAAAAACTAAGAAGGGCGGACAAGTACCTATTCGCCTAACCAATCTTTCTACTCAACCTAGGAAATTATCAAAGGGTGAATGTGTAGGAAGCTTCTTGAGAGCTGTCGAAGACAAACCTCCAATAAATCCAAAATCTAGCACTCAATTATCTACTCCAAACATTACCAAAGAGGAATTTAGTCAGTTATTCGATTGGTCCCACATTGGAAAAAAGGAAATTCAACCTCTATTAGATTTACTGTATAAATACCGATCTGTTTTTGCCCTTCATGATTATGATTTGGGATATTGCCAGGTAGTAGAACATGAAATTAATACCGGGGATGCCTCTCCCATATATCAACCTCCTTATAGGATACCTTATGCTCAACGAGAGAAAATGAACGAAATCATTGATGAGTTATTAGATAATGGGATAATAACACATTCTAAGTCCCCATGGTCAGCTCCTGCTTTATTGGTCAAGAAGAAAGAGCTTATATATACAGTACCTAATTTATATATAATTATATGTACAGACGAAACTAAACTCAATTTACCCGCCTAAACTGTCCGTAGCGTGGCGCTGGACGGCGGGAAAGTAGTTCGGCTGTTCGATGACGTTTTACGTAATTATAGGAGTTTTTTTACCGTTGTGTATGGATACCGCCACAATATTTTCGCCGTCTTATAGGAATCGTAATTATAGGAACCAGTATTATAGGGGAATCTACTGTATATTGTAAAATATAAAAACAATAAAAAATTATACTTCAGAAGTTAATTTAGTATCAAAAACGTAAAATAATTTGAGTAGCCGAAGACATAACCAAAGATTACAGCGCCACAGCACTGGCGAAAAAATTTAAATTTGTCGACTGGAATTTCTTCGGATAACCGACGTTTCGGATAACCGACCTTCGGATAAACGACGCTCTACTGTAATTCGTTTTAGGACCTGGTGTCGTCCACGGAAATTTTCAAAATTTACAACTTTTCGGTCACTCTCGTCGAACTGGAAAAATTTCTGTCTTTATTACATCTAATACAGTATTTCGAAGAAATCAATCCCCACTGTACTCGGCTATAGATTGGTTCGGTTAAGCTTTCGTTTAAGTAATATTCCGGCTCTTTCATCAGGGTTTTGTTTACGTCCCCAATTCCCTAATCGATTAAGTACTAAACTTGGAAAATTAGTTAGGCACGATCGTTTTGCTTATACAAACATCATATGTTAGCATAATCAGCAATTATTAATCGTTCCTTAATAATATACGACCATTTTATATTTGAATTTACAGCAAAAAAAGAAAATGTGTCCATCTCAGGCAGTGGACACATGTTTGTCGTTTTGCAGATCTGACTGGCTGGCACCGCCAGAATTTTGGGCACCGTCAAAACCGGATCTAACAGTTTTAGTGTAAATTAGGCATAAGCACCAGTCTGCTTCTCTGGGAACCAGGGATAGAATTCGGGCAGGCAAACAACTCCAGAAAATTTTTATGGGAGAGTTTGTCCTGAATATATCGGGCTTCGTGTCGCATCACTTAGCCTGCCCCATTGTGAACGTAATCAGACCTAAGATGAGTATTATTAAAAAGGTCTTTTTTGTGTTTACAGACTACAGGGTAAGCTTACCATAAGTCCCAATTGGAAAATATTTTCCGAATGTCCCTATTTGTTTACTTCTATTCGAAAACATCCCGATTGTATTAAAAACAGTCAAATTGTGATATAATGTCTTACGTGCCTAGACCACCTATCTTTACACGAGTACAGTACAGTGGTGGACTTGCCACCTGAAAATCGGGAATTTCCCGGTGAGCCATTCGCTCGGTGACTATTCCTATACATTATATTTTATTTGAGAAAAATAAATAAATTAATAAACAAAATACAATCTGTCTATTGTATTAAATTTAAGAAAAGTCTTATTAGCCTAATTCACACCATAAGCAGCCACGATATGGCTGCTTATACAAACAGACGGCAAATGCAGTCTATTACTTTAAATTTTAAAATAACTGGCCAGAGGCGATATCGTTATTAATAAGGTTTGAACCGAAGTGCGATATGCCATATGCGCGCTAATCCCCCCACGGACCTTGTTCCTGCTCGTCGTAGTAGGTAGAGGTGGCCGATGGTGGTGATTAGCGGGATCGTTGATCCCTCAAACTTTAAAAAATTGATTCAAACTAGGGCTGCCATAGAACGAACGGCCGATGCGATATCTGGCCCACTACAATATGAATTTTGTAACTTTTGATTTGAGAATAACTGATCCCAACCTGGGCCACAGATTGTCGCGATAGGCCATATTAGACTAATGCTCGGCACCTCCCGGATTTGACCCCAAGTCCTCCAGAGCGGTAAGCTGATGACTTAACCGCCTTGGTCATCCGACCGGCAATTTACATATACGATCCTATATTTGGTATATATTTCTGAGCCGAAATTTGTTGCCAGTCCAGTGCTGCAGTTTAATAACGATTCGTGCTCTGTTGTTTTTGTGTAGTGTTGTTCGATGGCATCAAAATTATTCATGGTTTCATGCAAACATCGACGATGAATCAATGGTAACGTCTGGCTAGTGTTTTTACTCTTGTTTCCCTGTGGACACCAAGAGAATCCTTATTTTTTTAATCATCTTCATCTTGGGCTCGGCTATGTTCGCAATGGGAGAGCTGGGTTTTCTAACAAAAACTTAACTAAAATAGGTAAGTTATTATTTTCATACAATCTGATAGAAATAGAATTTGGTCTATTCTTTTATCTAATGAACTGTTATTTGTTCGATTAACGGCTGTTCTACAGTGCTATATTTCAGGGGCATTAAAGAGTGTGCAATACACACGAGGCCAGGAAACAATGGAATCCATGACAGGCTAAGGATTTCATGTCATTATAAGGAAACTATGTTAAAAAATTAAATACTTATATTCACTACACGTTTATCACATGTGGAAATATGCAAATCACAAGTTTATGTATTTATAAACAAAATCTGTACAGTAGTCTGCATAAGTTTCTTGAATGGCTGACCGAACTGTAATTTAAACGAAAATTCTCTGGGAAAATTGACTTTTGTAATGTTTATAAACTCTTAAATATTTTAAAAGATGGAATTAAAAATATTAAATAATCATTTCTTTCAAAAATTACATATAGAAATGCAAAAGCGTTTTAATTTAATAAAAAAAAATTAAGAAACATACAAAAGACCTTCATTATTTATTTTGAATTATATATTTATTTTTCTACACCAATGAAGAAGTTAAAAAATTATATTTAAATAAAAATATTTTAATTAATTAATTAAACGCCTGTTAGNCTAAATACTTGGACCAAAAATGGTATAATTTACATAAAGATTAATGCAACTTCTCCACCTTCACGAGTGTTTACGTTAGAATATATTGAGAATTTATTTCATGATGGAAGTTCTATTAAAACATAATAAGATAACTAATTTTGAAAAGGATGGACTTTATATATTTTATAGTAATGTAAGATGCTTAAATAACAAATATCAGGAGATCAATCACATTATTTCTGGTTATGATTGTAACTTTGGTATCCTGGCTTTTTGCGAAACGTGGACTAATGAAACTCACCCTCCGTTTAAAATAAATAATTTCAATATGGAAAAAATTGAAAGACAACCAAACCAACACGGAGGCATAGTTTTGTTTATAAATAAGGATTTGGTTTATGAGGTAATAACTGATTTGACATTTACTAAAGAGTTCATAGATGTGATGACAATTGCTATTGATAAAGTTTTGATTGTAGTTATTTACCGATCTCCGGCTTCAGAATACAGTTTATTTTTTGATGTAGCAAATTCTATAATTCATTATAAAATTAACAAATTAAGAAATTATAACCTACTTATTATTGGAGATTTTAATATAGATTTACTTAAAGATTCTTCAACTAATACTTGTGACTTGTTAAACTTTTGTCTGTCAGAAAATTTATCACTTTTGGCTGATCGGAGGCAACCGACTAGATTCGATAAAGACACTCACTCCTTGATTGACTTCGGGTTAACCAATATAAGTGAGTCAGAATTTTTAATACATCAGAACTTATTGTCGGATCATACACCTATAGTTTTCTTTCTCCCAAGGAAAGATACGGAAATGGGTGGTAAATCACTAAAAACACGTAGAAAAATAAATAATTTATCAACACGTCTTTTACGTAATGCACTGTCAGCTTGTTTCGCTTGGGACTATTATTATTCTGCAGATCTTTCTGTTGACCAATTGGCNACAATTAATTAATTACATTTAATTCTATTAAATTACAATTAATTTTGAAGAAAAATGAAAGTTCTTTTATCACAGTTTCCTTTCTTTGTACTTAAACTCCTCCCTTTTTCTCAGGTCTTTCTCTTGAATTTGACCTTACGCAAGAGAATACTTCCTTTATATTTAATTACAAATTAAAGTAGAAGAGAAAAAAATCATTTACTTATTGGATTCAAAATGACATTCAAATTAGTCACGTGTCTTTGCTTGTTGGCTATTGTTGAGACAAAGATATTTAACAAATGCGAAATGGCCAATATTTTGGTAAAAAACCGAATTCCTAGACGAGATGTAGCTAATTGTAAGTCAATTAATACATTTTTTTAAATGTATAATTTAATTATACATTAAAAATATTAATATATTTAAGGGATATGTTTGGTTAGACACGAAAGTAATTTCAATAGTCGAATCAGAAGTAAAATGAACAAGAATAAAACCTTCGATCATGGAATTTTTCAGGTATTTTCTTAATAAGTTAATTCAATTTTCTAAAATAATTTTTAATTTATTTATTTTAATTATGAATTAAATCACAAAATCCTATCTGAATTTAGATTAACGATGGTTATTGGTGTTCTCCCGGACGTTATAACGAATGTAAAATCTCATGCTCGGGTGAGAATATATTATAAAACTTTACGAATTATATGTTTTAAGTTAATATACTGTTTTAAAAATAATCTTTAAATTTTTTTTTAATCTTTAGCTCTTCGTGATGATAACATTAGTGACGATATTAAGTGCGCTAGAAAGATTTACTCTAGACATGGATTTAGAGCTTGGTACGTATTTATAATTTAAGAAATTTCATATAAATATGGATAAAATTATTTTTAAAAAAATCGAAAAACTATAGGTACGGTTGGAGAAGAAATTGCAGTGGAAAGAACTTGAAAAGTTATACAAGTGGATGCAAATATTAATGAAATTTTTATGTGGAAAAATCTGTAAAAAGGAATAAATACACGATTATATGCGAAATATGTTATTAAAAAATCATTATATTTTAATATAAAATTTGTTTTATGACATTAATATAAAATTTTTTAATTAAAATATATATATATATATATACAGTAGACCCCCCTATAACGCAGGTTCCTATAA